TTTTTTTTTTTACCAAAACAATAGATAATATTATAAATCAAAATATTCTTATATGACAGTTTTGTGCACGTAATATTAATTTTTCTGTAAAACATCAAGTAAAAACATTAATTTGTAGAATTATGAAATAAAGACATGATTAAATATATAGATGAACTTAAGTCTGAATTACCAAACTTAGTACTATCTGGAGTTTTTGTTAACAAAATCAGTGTGAAGATAAAATAAAATTGAACTACATTCACAATGGAATATGAATGTGAAAACAATACCTGGTATTAGCGACTATCTCTATTGTCTGTAATATTAATTGCCCTCTAAATTTCAAATTGTGTTGGTCTTCATTCAAAACTGCCACGCAATCTTTGAATATGCTTCAGCAAGTCTATCTTGTTTTCTTAATTTTTTCAATTCTGAATATGAATGTTATTTGGAGTTGAATTTTGCGCGAATAGACATGTTATATGAACAACAGTGAAGAGCAATTTAGCTCGTAATATGTTGCATAAAATGATGCATTTCAATTAAAATTAAATTTAAATAATAATAAAAGAATATATTACCTCAAAATCGTGAATGATAATCTCAAGAACATTTCGTAATTGCGTACGTCTTCAACTCGTTGGAACATCTTAATTATGCGTAGCTTGATTGGTGGCTTATTGGATCTTTGGATATATTTGATGCCTCCAAAATTCAAAGGCATTATGGACGATGTTGTAAAAGCTGTGTGAAAAAATTGTATTGTGGGATGGATGTTGAATATTTGTTGTTCAAGGTTGATGATGTTTATATAGTCATGTGTACGTACCGTACGCCACTCACGGGGATTTAAAAAATATTTACGTCATGTACTAATTTAATTAATTGATAATATCTGATATTTTTTTAATATGATATGATTAATATTCCGTGGGACCCGATCCGACCTATTTGATTATTCTTATGATGAGTTCAAAAAATATGTATTTTCGGTTTTGGTAAAACAATAAAAAATTGTGGTAAGTGATTCACTTGTGAGTGACGCGCGAATATTTCAAAGATTATATTGCCCAAAAAATGGAGTTTGTTACAACGAAATTTGGTAAGACAATTTCGATCAACTATCTTTGAGATTATGTAATAATTATGAAATTTGTGAATAAATAAAATCCTATAAAATCGGATCATATATATGCAGATTGGGACAAAAAAAAAATAAAAAATGAATAATTGCTAAACAAATGTGAAAAGCCGTCCAAATCGTCAATTATGTAGCGGCCCAAAAAATCTTAGTTATCGTGCAAATTTGGTAACAACAATCCCTATATAAAATTGATCAAAATCCTAGCAATAAGTTGACAAAATCCGATAAATTTGGAAAAGAAATTTGGATCATTATCATCGAGATCTTGTAGTAATTATGAAATTTGTGAACAAATAAAATCCCACAAAATCTGATAACATTGGTTGGTAACAACAATCCATATATAAAATAAATCAATATCCTAGCAATACAGTTAACAAAATCCGATAAATTTAGTAAGGAAATTTCGATCATTACCATCGAGATCTTGTAATTATTATGAAATTTGTGAACAAATAAAATCCCATAAAAATCCGATAACATTGATTAACAACATTCAAACTATTTTTGGTAGGAAAAATTTAAGTGATTTATCTTCTTTATTAATTTTATGTTAACACGTGGAGCCCATTCTTATTACTTAAATTAGCAAGTCAAAACATATTTTTTAAGTTAACCATATTATTTTTATATTTTTCCAAACAAACCTCTTTATATTATTATATAGATTATTATTATTATTATTATTATTATTATTATTATTATTATTATTATTATTATTTTATTAATAATAATAATTATTATTATTATTATAGATCGGATCAAAATAATTACAAGAAATTGGAGGGGAGCCGAGATACTATCTGGGCCTCCACTCCTTTTGCAATGGAAAAGCTAATACGAGTGAAAATATGAGGAGCAGCACGCGCCCCCACATCCTGAGACACTGAATACTTCTGTATCCTCTTGAGTAGGGTAATGACCTTCGTGTGTAACTCCCCTAATGAAGAGAAAGAGAATGGAAGAAATCCATAACCCTTAGTTGCACACAAGGTGTCGTATTTCGCACGTTTGCGATGAGCGGCATCAACCACAACACGTCCCGGAACAAAGTCAGACATCCCGAACTGGGTCAAGGGCGAAGAACCAGTCAAATCAACGCCAAGGGAGACTAAAAAATATGAGGTCCAAACATAAATGCCAAGGGAGACTAAAAACACCGTCAACATAAATGCCAAGAGAGGCTTTAGAGAGAGAGTCAGCGCAGTGTATCTAAATTCCAACCTCCCTACCTACACTATTTACTACCCAATCTTAAACTTGGTTAGACGTTGGGAGTTGAGAGTTTGAAGAAGATTATGTGACCCCACTTGTTTATTATTATATCAACTGCTTTTGTTGTGCCCACTTACATGATAACAATTGACATGCCCTTCTGAAAATTGAAAAATATTGGATGTAATTTATATGTCATCAGACAAATTAAGTCTAATTATAACAAAACAAAATCACAAATATCAAATCTGAGTTTCTGAATTCATGATCAGGCAAGAAACAAGCTTGGAGTAGCAAGAACTTGAGAAAAAAAAAATAGATTTTTGTTAGACCATCTCCAGTTTTTATCTTTACTTTAGTGCAGAGTTTACTCCACTCCTGACTAGAGTTAACTAAAAATTAAATTTGGCCTCCAACCATTCGCGCTACATTATACTCCATATATATTATTAATATTATTTTAATTTATTTAATATATTGAAATATTATTTAATTAGACATATTATTTTATAAAAGAAATATATCATAATATTAGTTGGTCTTCCACTGGTTTGAAATATTGTCCCACAAAGAATTATTATTTATATATAATATTTAATTTATTTTATAGTAATTCAACATAAAAATATATTTTTTAATAATATATAATTCTCCAATTAAATTATAAATTTAATGGTAAAAAAATTGTCAAATAATGCATTTTAAGATAAATCAATTGCATATAATAAAAAAATAAAAAACAAATAAAAGTTGTAGAGAAATGAATAGTACCGCGCCAGATGTAACGCGATACTGATCATAACTCTAGAGTGATGCAGATGTAGCGCAGCGTTGGAGATCAATTTTTTGTCTCTATTCTAGCGTAATACGCTAGAGTAGCGCAACACTGGAGATGCTCTTATTAATTTCCCAAATATCATATTAATCTTTTTTCTCATTTAAAAGGGTAAATACAACATGTACTATACGTGCTTTTGAGATTTTAAACCTAAAGTATTTTTGTTTTTATTTTTTTGTAAAATGCACCCTGAACTACATATACAGTCACTATTTGCATGTTCGACTACATCTTAACTATACACGTGTCCTTTTTTACAAATGATCAGACAGTCAAAAATTAGTCGAGCATGCAAATAATTGTATATATATAGCTCATGTTGCATTTTACGAAATAAAATATTTTAAATTGAAAATTCCAAAAACACATACAGAAACAAAAGAAGACTAATAAAGAGTCGTATTTAGATGTTTGCTTACTAATCAAGTGGGCGCATCTCATCTCATCTGCTGCCCCGTATCATTGTTGGCAAACAAAACAAACACAACCAAATAATGTGGTCACAATCACAATAGAAAAATTCAACCCTCTCTCCACATCCAATTACTGTCAATCCATAATAATAAACAACAAATTGCGTACACCCAAGAGCCGTCAAAGGAGAAAATCAAAATACACAATGCAGATAAACAGAGATGGCATGTAAAGAAGGAAAATTTTCCCTTTCAGAGGATGTGAAAAATTACATTTTTAACTGCGACACTTCAATACAACCAAGAAGCTTTCAGCTCATAGTTGTAGGCACGGTAGAGGTTTTTCCGAGAAACAACAAAATTGGGGGCAGGATGTTTATACTATCATTATTATTGTTCTACCTTTTTTCTTTTATTGTATTCTTTTATACAAATCACGCACACGATTTCCATATCTTTCCCTCCAAAGAAATGACGATGATGGAGACGTCATCATGGTACCGTCGCCTATCCCCTTGCGGTATTTCCAGTAATTCATGAAAATCCATGCCTGATAAGGGATATACGCTTCTTTCATAATAACTAACTTTTTGTGTTGTGTCGTTTAATCACCAAAAAAGGAAAAAAGAAAGAATAATTACCAGCCCTTTTGGCAGCACGGAAAAGCAACTCCTCAAGCAGATGCTGGGCGGGGTCACCTTCTGGAGACCAAGAAATGAAGAGCTCCACCTCAGACACAGCCTCTTCATTCGTCAAGTACTGATAAAGCCCATCAGACGACAGAATTAGAAACCGGTCCCTCGGCCCTAACCTGTGGTGGTAAAGTGAGGGGAGGCAGTTTAGGTATGGGGAGCTCCCAATGAAGTCGATCCTGAATGCCTCTAGAAGTGCATTGTTCCACTTGGGCTGCACAACCGAAATAAAATTACCTTAGGATAAAATATAATTATTTCTACTGAAAACAAGGAAATTTACTCTCGTAGTACAAATTAAAAGAAATGCCACAAACATTTGAACACCAATTTGACAGAGAGAAAATGTGATCCACAAAAGAGTCTCTAATTGGCTGCTTTTTTGGTACAGCTAAATATCCACAAGTCCAGTTTTGAGCATAATGGATGGCTATTCAATTCCCACTAAGAGATTCTAACCGGGAAAGCAAAACAAAAAAATAGGCAATTGTGCTACTATGAAACCACAATCATTCCTAGTGTTTGGCCTCAAAAAGGTTTATGCATAACCGCAAAAGCAACTCGACATTCATTTCTGAAAAACCTTCTACAACGACACGTTGCGTTTGGCACCATATCAGAACCATATTATGCTTTATCTCAAATATCTGAAACCACAAAGAAGATGCTTCGAAAGAACATACACACTCGCATATACACACCTGTTTGAGAAAACCGGCCCCAAAAGCTCGAGTAACCTTTAATGAACCTTTCACTCGGTCATTGATCACAGCACAAGCATCATCAAGATGTTCGTTTCTAATCCTCATAACTTCCTGTTGTACGGACAACCCCAACAACAAAAAATCAAAACTCGGCAAACAATTCAATCTAACAAACCAAGAAAAAAAGAAAAAAAAACACTAATCAATTTTTGAGCAGACTTTCTTTACCTCCTCAACCGAGGTGCTATGTTCGTTTGTAAGCTGCAAAGCAGTTAAGCTCGGCAGCAAATCTGGCACGCCCTCATCAAAAGACTCAAGATCGTAAAGTGTCTCCTCATTGATTCTCTCTAAATCCTGGCTCCAGAGATCGGGTCCCTTGTTTTGGGCCAGGACAGCCCGGCTGTCCCCCACGTTCATCACATATACATCTTCCCCCTTCATCAACGTGACGAGAACGCACGAGCCCATGAGGGCTAACTCGGGATTCTCTCCCCCCATTTGGTCCGCAACATCAAAATATGCCTCCTCAGTTTCCCTGAGAGCCCTTGACAAAGCCTTCAGCACATCCCCATGATTCGTCGGCCCAACTTGATCCGACTGCTCTTTTAACCGTTTGTCGAGCTCCAATCTTTCCCTATTCCATTCACATCTCCAAGTCCGATGATTTTCCTCCCATTTCTTAGCAACTCCCCGATATTTGCTCTTTGAATTTCTTGACCTTTTTCTACAATGCCTTAAGTCCTCATTTATTCCATAACTGCTCGTGCAAGGATAACTCTCTAGCTCTACACCACACCCTGAACAACCACCATCATTAGTCCTATCCCGAGAATCAAAATCCGGTTTCCCCGAGCATGATCTCTCAACCAACAAATTTTCAGATTTACTATTGCTATTATTGTCATCCCAAAGCAAACCCTTGAGCTCCTTATGAACGGCCGGGTACAAATTGGACAGCAAATAGTCGGGCGCGTCCGGGCCGTTAAATCCGTCATAAATGCCGACGAAAACCCATCCGTGCTCCTCGGAGACCACCACGTGTACTCGATCCTCCCCAGCTTTCCCCTGGGCCCACTGCAAATTCTGAGTCCCCATTGTAACTTCATTATCATCATCATCATCATCCAAGCTACACTCGGTGCTAAATTTGCTCTGCTTCTCAGGAGCCACAATGGAGTTGTGGCCGCGGGCCATCCCCTTGGAGAGGGCACGCCTGAGGGCCCGTATGAGGGAGAGTTTCCTTGATCTGGGGCGGAAAGCAAGGCCGCCTTGGGAGTAGCTGCGTTGGAAGTGGTCGAGGGGGCCCGACAAGAAGGCCCGCTCGATGGGGCCGGACATGAACCCTCTGTCGAGGGGTCCAGAGTTGGGGATCGGGCCTGAGTGGTTCCGGGGAATGGGCTGGAGAGGGATGGAGGCGAAGGAGGTGGAGCCCTCGAAGGCGGAGGCCCGGTCGGCGGTGGTCAGAGAGTAGAAGAGGTCGGTGGAGAGCGGCGTGGAGGTGTTGGCGCTGACGGAGGCGCCGGAGATGGACTTAAATGAGGTCGACGTCGTCGTCTCCTCGGAGTGGACCTTGGGGGCGGTCAGTTCGGGGCGTATGTAGCAGAAGGAGTGGCCAAGGTCTTCGGGGGGGTCGGACATGACCATGCTCTTCCGCCGCCGCCGCCGAGCATCCTCGGCAGTGGGTCCCACTCCGGTGAAGCACACCGTAAGCTTCCCAGCACCGTTGCCCATTTATTTTCTCTGAGGAAAAAAAAAAACTTTTTTCTCGATCGGGACTTTATTTCATTTGGTGGGACGAAAATGAGTATTGAGAGAGAGAAAGAGAGAGGGAGAGAGAGGAGGCGTTGACTTTAGAAAGGGGCCAGTGGCCAGGCAGTGCCAGTGTTTGATTGAGGTAATAAAAACAGGAGACTGGGAATCAACGCAAATACATTGGGTGTGCTTTGGCACACCTACCAAGATTTTTTTAAAATGAACATGTTACTTTATAAAATGAACATGTGTAAACATATTTATACATGTTCATTTTATAAAGTAATATGTTCATTTTAAACTGTCTTGGCACACCTTGTTAGGTGTGCCAGGCACACAATAGTAGCACTGGGGAATCAAGGCCAGGTGGATGCCTTTCTTGCATTTGTCTTTATTTACGAAATTTCCTTTTCTCTCTTCACCACTCCCAACCATTAACTACCGTAATTGACACGGAGTCAAAACAAATAAAAATCATTTAAAATTAAATTTTGAGTTAAAGTAAATTATGTTTAATCCAGTTAATTGACTGCAATATGTAATAACTAGTACAACACCCGTGTATTATACGGGTGCTTGCTAATTTTTTTCTTAAAATATAAAATTAATAAGAAAAAGTAATTTGAAAATTTAAATACATTTTATAAGAATATATATTATTATATATTTATTATGACACTTTTTATTTGTGCAACTAATTTGTGTTATATTATACTAATTTTTTTGAACTTACAATATATAACTACATTACATATAAATATATCAATTGAAAAATAATTTTATTTTTCTAATGAATTTTAATAAATATTATTTTTTATTACTATAAAGATAAATATAATTTATTTATTTCATATATACAATATGGATGTCAAATCGAAGATCATCAAAAGATGATTAATTTGATTTATTATATATGTAAAACCGATAAGAAATACAAAAGTTGTCAAATTTTAAAATACATTTATAATTCAATAGCTTATTAAAGGAAACAAATCAAAATTCGAGGATATATTGGTCACTTAGTGCCTCACTATGTAAAATTACAAAGAATTAAAGGGTTATATTAGTAAAAGTGATATTAAAATACCTAAGTTAGTTAAATAATATTTATGGAATACCCGAACCTAGATTATTAATTATTAATATATCAATATTATTTATCCAAACCTAATTACAAAGCATGATTATTCGCCAAATAGGATTTCGAAGCCACGTAGGCTCAGCGCATTCGGGAATTATATATAGGGAGGATGATATTTGTATAATCTAATCAACTTTAGTTTAATTTATCAAATGATTTTGTTTATACAATCTTCATATATCTTGCTTGATTCTTTTATTCATGGACTTAAGTTTGGAAATTTTGAATTTGGAGTCAATTAACTATTCTTCGGGTTTGAGTTTGAACTAGACTAACGTTAATTTAAGGTTCGAATAACTTGTCCTTGATTTCAACGTTATGACTTGATTTTATTGGTGAAGATTTTTTGGTGAATTTACATCAATCTTACCTGATGATAGATTTGGACTTGAATAACGTCGAGGCTTGAAAGCTTTTTTTTTTTTAAATCAAACGCTATGTTGCTTGAGCTCAACGATGAATGCAACCTAAGTGTTGTCTTGAACGTTGTTAACATCTTAGATGAGCAGAGTGGGCCCTAAATAAATTACAACCACTAAATGAAGAAATAGATGAGTCGAGTACTTCGGTTGGTTACTCAAGAGCGGAAGCAAACCCCGAAAGCAAGAACAGACGGGTGCAGTACGAATCAAACATGACACATGTAGCGCCCCGTTATATTAAATACCCATTTATTTTCAATAGTCTTTTTTCTATTTTAATTCATCTTTAATATTAAGTATGGTTATTTAAATCATTATAATTAAAATATCTTTATCATTAAAAATAAATATAACCATTAAGTTATTACACTTTTTATTAATCTTATTAATATTATATTTAGCATTCCTAATCTATCTATATATAAAAAGGTTGATGGTTAAATCCTTTTTAGAAACTTTTGACCAAAAAAATAATGCCTTTGAAATTCTAATTATAGAAAGCTTAAAGAAAATAAAAAAGCTCAAATTTAATATCACATTTTGAATTTAAAACTTTTTTGTGTAGAGAGATAAAAAGACACGAATTTAATATCACATTTTGAATTCAAAAATTTATGGTGTAGAGAGATTGTAGGAATGTGTGGATAACTCACTCAAAAGAGATAACTATGGACATTATTTTTTAATTAATTCCTTATTTTGATTTAATCTTATGAAAGGTAATCACGTGCTCATTATACAATCCATTCAATTTGGTTTCCTATATAAATGCCATTGGACAAATAATAATTTAAATAATACAATACAATAACATAAATAACAATTTAAATACTACAATACAAATACATGTTTTAATCGGATCCATACAAACATAAAAACCTCATAACATAGAACTTAAATTTCATTCCACTAAAAAAATACATTATTATACAACTTTGATCAATAAATAAATTAATAAGTCATTGGATAAATAACAATTTAAATAATACAATACAATTACATGAATAACAATTAAAATACTACAACACAAATACATGTTTTAATCGGACCTAACAAACATAAAAACCTCATAAAATAAAACGTAAATTCCATGTCAGTTAAAAAATACATTATTATACAACTTTGATTAATAAATAAATTAATAATTAATATATTAATATGTTAATACTGTAATTCTTTGTACACGAAAAAACATCTACACTGTTTAACCATCCAACTGATTAGGACTTATCTTCTCATCATATTATTCAAACTCCTATTTTAATGGCTATCAGTTATTATCTAATGGCTATCAATTATTATCAAACAACATTTAAAAAACACGTGTTGACTAGAATTAGTTAAGTTAAATAAAAAAACTTAATTATAGATAAATTATGGGAACCGAAATTTGTTACCAGAGAGATATTTAAACTTATTTATAGAGAAATTAATTTATTATCCAACTAATTTGCACTTATCTTATCATCCCACCAGAGTTTGAATTTATTCAAACTCATATTTCAATGGTTATCAACTATTATCCCATGCTTTTAAAATGAGCATCCGAACGGTCATCACGTATCACAAAAAACTCACTCTCATTTGGACGTACAATCAGACAAGCAGAAAAATAGCAAAAGCATGGGGAAACATCAAACAAGTAACAAGGACCAACATGCTAATGCTCAAGTTAAGAGTGGTTCGGATTTTTCAAAGGAGTAATGAATACTCATCCTACAAGAACATTCTTGAAATTGTCTTTCATGACATTGAGGTATAATTCACAATCAAATTAATGATTAGTTCTTTCTTCTCATATTACACAATAATTTCTAATATTATCTATTATTTTTATTATTTTTTTTTTGCAGGGCGGTCGAATTACAAGAATAACAAGAGCAGTAAATATTCCAACTTTCATCAATGAATTCCAAAAAGGGGTTGTCTATGCATTTCGAAACTATCAGGTCGAGAGTAACATTGGAATGTACAGATCCACCATTGCACAATACAGGCTTATCTTATATGGTAGAATTGAACACATAAGCTACAATGGTAACTTTTCAATTTACCGTTTCGACATTCGAAGGTTCATCACACTAACTGATGTCGAGAAGATCGACGAATCAATGCTATCTGGTAATTGCATTTTCACTTATTTAAATTATTTTTTAGCATTTTCATGATAAATAATAATTTTACTCATATTTCACACATGTTTAGATGTTATTGGGATGGTGGTCGAGATAAATCCAGTTCAATTGAAGACATACCCGAAAACATTTTGCTTCAGTCATCTGATGATCCTATTGCTCAAATTGTTGAAAGCACATATCCAATGTACAATGAGGTGCCTGACGATCCAAGTTATTCGAAGGATAGGGCTATATTAGAGCCGACGTTAGATGTGGTCGAGTCTATTGTTCGTGTGTGATTTTACACCATATTCATCTAGTATCTAGAGCTTATTTGTCGCATTATTGGTGTACAAATTGCATTATTGTGCTTTAATTCTATATTTGTTGGAAGGTATTACACGTGCTTGTTTTGTAGATATTTTCACATATTTGTAGAGCTTTGGCTATTGGAGGAGCATGGTGAGTGCCTAAGACTCCCGGGATGATGATAGATCGATGCACATATGAGAAAAATGGAAGAAACGAGCAAAACGGATAAAAACGTGCATGCTGGGGTGTGACACGGGCTGTGACACGACCAACCAGCCCGTGTCAGAGCCCATCTCACCTCAACAGAAAGAATTTGAAGCTCAGAGACCTGACACGACCCGTGACACGACCTATGACACGGGCGTGTCGGGTCGTGTCGCGCGCGCGGACAGTTTTTAATCCCTTGCCTTTTTGGATAAGGAGAAGAGTTTTTGGACATTAAAAAGAGCATATTAACCCTATTCTAAGGGAGAAAGATAGAAAAAACAAGGAGAAAGGCTTAGAACACACAAGAGAAGCAATTGAGGAGCAAAAAGGAAGACCAACTACGAAGGAATCAAGAAGATTGAAAGATCGATGAGATTCCTAGTTTTTATTTCTTCTCTCCTCTTGAATTTTTATTGATCATGTCGATTTCTAATATGTCTATGTGTTTGAATTCGAACATGAGTTGCAAGATTTATTGATTCTAAGACTTGGTAGTAGATTAATATGTTGGGATTTTGGATGATTTATTTATAATTGATTTTTTTTCTTTTGAACCCTATTCAAGTATTTTGTTCTTATTCCATGTTTAGAACTTGATCAATTCTTTTACATGTTTGACAATATTGTTCATAATTCGAGAGATGAGTTCAATATTAGGTCTTTAATATTTGACATAATTTACTTGCTTGAATCGAGAGATTAGTAGGTAATTGTGAGGATTTTAGATCTTTTAATCTATTTGGAGTTGAATTGCATGTGTTGAGTGGAGACACTAATATA